AACAGATGTGTCATGGAGTAAGTGCACCCAGATTGCTCCTTAGAGGCAAAGATGATAACGCTTTGTCTCACAAACTTTGGACTAGGAGAGGCTATTTCTTGGAAAGGGACATCATGATCAGAAAGGTTGAGGGTCAGTGAAAGAGAGAAAGACCCTTAACAAAATAAATTGACATAGTCACTGAAGAAATAGGCTCAAATATGTCAGAGATGTCGAGGAGGGCATAGGAAAGGTCATAGTTTAGATCTGTTGTTTATAGGATTGGTACATGTCATTTGTTCAATTGGTATACCATCAATTCCTGGGGGCTTGCTTTTTGCCAATTCTTTCAGAGCAGCTTGTTATTTCATTAAATTCTTCTGTGTCAGCCAATTCCTTTTGGTACAATGACTCTGTATACGCGTTCCATCTTCTTTTAATATTCCTTGGATAATTTAATATTCTGCTCAAAGTATCCTTAAGTGTTGCAACTCGAGGCTTGAATTTGTTCTTCAGTTCCTTGAGCTTAAGAAATGCTGAGCGAGTTTGACCCCTTTGATTTTCTGACTCCAGCTCCTTGCACATTTCATTATAATACTTGACTTTGTCTTCCCACACTGTCTTTTGACATCTTCTGTTCAGCTCCTTAATATCTTGATTTCTTCCCTCTGCTTTGGCTTCTCAGCGCTCTAGTGCAATATTCAGAGTCTCTTCTGGTATCCATTGGTCTTTTCTTCCTCCTCTGTCTTTGTAATGACCTGGATGATATTCTTGATATCCTCCTATAACTCAGCTGGTCTTTGCTCATTAATGTTCAAGGCCTCAAAGGTGTTCATGGAGTGCTTGCTGCAGAAGGTAAAGGACTACAGTCTTCAATAAGGATTGAAGCTCAACATGAAGAAAACAAAGATTCTCACCACTGGGCCATCACGACAGCATTGTGATGAATGGTGAAGAGATTGAGATTGTAAACAGCTTTAGTTTGCTTGGCTCCACAATCAACACTCCAGCAGCCAAGAAATTAAAAGGTATATTGCATTGGGAAAGTCTGCTGTCAGGGACCTCTCCAGAGTACTGAAGAGCAATTATGTCAGTCTTGAGACTAAGGTGTGCCTGATACAGACCATGGTCTTTGTAATCACTTGCTATGCCTCAGAGAGCTGGACGATGACTAGGGAGGATAGAACAAAAATTGATGCCTTTGAACTTTGGTACTGGAGAAGAATATTGAACATACCTTGGACTGCTAAGAGAATGAACAGGTTCATCCTGGAGAAGGTTAAACCAGGATGCTTTTTGGAGGCAAGGATTCTGAAGCTTCATCTGACATACTTTGGACACGTTGCAAGGAGGGACCAGTCCTTGGAGAGGGACATTATGCTTGGGAGGGTGGAGGGCCAGCACAGGAGAAGAAGACCCTTGTTGAGATGTATTGATTCAATGACTAAGGTAATGGGAGTAGGTGTGTCGGAAACAATAAGATTGGCACAGGATAGAGCAGGGCTTAGGGCTGTTGTACATAGGGTCGCTATGAATCACAGGAGACTCGACAGTATATAACAATAACATCATAAGTCATATTCAACTCAATGGCACCTAACAATAGCATGATATTTAAAGGAGATCTGTTGGCTTAGTGGTAAAAAGTTGTGCTGCCAACCCAAGGTACATGTTTCGAATCCATCAGCAGGAGAAAGATGAGTAATCTCCTCATGTGATTTACTGCCTCTGAAAACCCACTGGACAGTCAGCTGTTAGTTGCAACTTGATAGCAATGAGTTTGAGTTTTGGGTTTCCTATGTTTGAGTTTTGACGTTGGGTGGCCTAGTTCTAACTCACAGTCCATACCTCTCTGGTGGTTTGAATATACTAGTGGCTCTGAGGGAGAAAAACAGGCAGTCTCCCATATGATTTGCAGCCTCAGAAAACCTGCTAGGGGGTCAATTTTTAGTAGGTCCCAACACGATGGTAATGAGTGTGATTTGGTTTTTAAACTATGTAATAGGATAGAATTGAATTTGCTTAATTTTATGAATACATAAAAATTGTAAAGAAGACAACAAATATAAATATTTTAGGGAAAATGGAGAACATTGTCAAGATGTAGGGCTAATCAAAGACTTCTCAGATTTGACACCAAAAGCACAATGTTTATAAGGAAAAAAGTTGATAAGTTGGACTTCATAAAAATGTAAAGCATTTCTTCTTTGTGGAGCATATAAAAAGGCCAAGTATGCTGCTGTTGTTACTATCAGGTGCTCTGAGGTTGGTTCCAGGGGACAGTGACCTTGTGCGTAACAGCATGAACCATTGTCTGATCCTGAACCATTGTCTGATCCTGTACCATCCTCACGATTGCTGCTATGTTTGAGTCCATTATTGCAATCCATATCCTGAAGGCCTTTTCACTCTACTTTGCCACCACAATGTCCTTCTCCAGGGGCGAGCCCCTTTAAACAGCATGTCCAAAGTCCGTGAGAGGAAGTCTCACCATTTAGCACTTTGACTGCACTTCCTCCAGAAAGACGTGTTTGCTCTTTTGACAATCCATGGTGTGTTCAATATTATTTGTCAGCACCAATTGGGGTTGAATGGGGTAGTGTCAGAGAAAGAGATTGCGTACAGGCTAACAATGACAAAATATGGGAAAGGGAGGAAATTATGCAACAATAAATGAACTGTTTTTAAACAAAAGTGAACTGGGGGCAGGAGTAGGAAGGAAAATTTGAAACAAAGAATGAAAGAAAATCCAACTTTTCTATAAACCTACCTTAAAATACAAACTTCTTTTTCATCAGAAGCAATGAACATCAGATACAGTATAACATGATCTTTAATGCACTGATAGGGAGAAATGAACTGTCAGTCTAGATGTCTATATTCCAAAATTACCATTTTTTATATGAAGATGAAATAAAGACTTTTCAAATAAATAAAAACTGAGACAAGTCATCATGAAAAGACCTACACCACCAAAATAATTTTTAAAAGCTCATCAGAGTCATCATAAACATTATAACTCTCTGAAATTTGGACCTTCACAAAGATTTGAGCCATGTTGGAATGGAGAAGAGATGAGCAAATATATATTTTTTTTTAAAAAGTGCATTTGGGGTGGAGGGGCAGGATTGGGGTTGGGGGAATTGTATACCAATGAAGAAGTTTATCTTTTGTTTTTCAAAGAGAGGAACAAGCTGGGGGGAGGGGGGTAAAGAAAAAAGTGCAACAATGAATGAATGAAAATCCAAAATCTCTGTAAATGTTCATTAAAATTAAAATATTTTTTTTAAATCTCATTTTTAAATTTCATTTTAAGTCTGTTGAGTGCTTAAAGTAATAATAAAATATAAGGTTTATAATAATGTTTTATTGATAGGTGCCGTCAACTTACATGTGACTCATAGCGACCCTATATACAATAGCTCCGAAGCCTGCCCTGTCCTGAGTCAGTCTGACTCTGACACATAGCCCCATTGTCATGGGTACTGTATCAATCCACCTCATCCAAGGTCTTCCTGTTCTGTGCCATCCCTCCACCGCTCTGAGCATAATTCTCTTTTCCAAGGGCCAGTCCCTCCTGGTCAAGTGCACAAAGTATGTGCAACAGGGCTTCAAAATCTTAGCCTCCAAGAAGAAACTTGGTTTCATCATCTCCAAGACAGACCTATTTGTTTTCTCGGCAGTCCATGGTATGTTAAGAATCTTGTCTAGCACCACAACTCAAAGGTGTCGATTCTTCTTCGGTAATCCTTAGTCACTGTCAGCTCTCTGATGCGGAGCTCTGGAGTTTCCTGAGACTGAATGTCTTGCCTTGTAAAATGTATCACAATAGCACAAAGAATGGTGGGTCAATGATAGTATACTGGTGGAAGGTTCTTAAACTATTCATTAAGTGATATCATATGTTAGTGCATACTGTTATGCAATTACATATCCAGTAGAGTGCCAGAAGAACAAAGAAATCTTTCTTGAATGAAGTGCAATAAGGGGGTGCTTCTTAGAAGCAAGGTTAGTGAAACTTTGTCTCATCTACTTTGGGCGTGTTGTCAGAAAGAGCCAGTACTTTGAAAAAGACATCATGCTGGGAAAGGTGGAAGGCAGCAAAAAAGACGACGATCCTCAATGTGATATATTGACATAGTGACTGTAACAATGGACTTGAATATGATGGAAATCGTGGGAATGGTATAAGATAGGGCAACTCATCTATTGATGAGTTGGAGTCAACCAGATGACACCTAACAATAACATTATACAATAAAACTCATATATTTGTGCGTGTATGTGGACACTTGTCTTTATATATGCACACATACATACATATGTACATATGTTGTTGTTGTTAAGTGCCATCGAGTCGTAGGCGACTCATAGAGACCCTATGAATGAAAATCCTGGACACCTGTATAACTTTCATCCTTTCTCCAGTATGTACATATACACATTCTTTTTCTTTAACATTTTAATACAGGTTTACTTAGAAAGTTCATATGCATTCTTATTTTCTGAGCTGGAGCCCATATGTTTCATCATAAAGGCTCCTAACACAGTCAAGTGTACAAATTTTTAGGAGGAGCATTTAGAAAATCCATCAGGTGACAGAGAACATATAGTAATTGGACTTATTTTAAGGTGAGAGACCAAATGATCCATTCTTTCCATCTCTTTACCTTTGAACTATATGACAGTGCTCCTTGACAGAGGAAACAATGGGCCCCACTGATGAATTTTGCTGCCACAGTGACTGTGATTACTACTGCCAACCCCCACTGTAAGGAAGCATCATCCGGTCTTCTGCTTCAGCTTCAAAGCAACCACAGGTGACAGAAGCTCATGAACCAGAGGCAAAGTTGAATGATGGCCACTGCCCCATCTCTTCACTTGACCCAAGAGGCCAATGGCAATAGCCTAAAGGCCCATTGAGGGAGATGGATACTATTTACCAGAAGTAAATACAGCTGCACTTGTACTTTGGAACAATTGGTCAACCTTGCCACTTGCACAATCTGCCGGCAAAGGTTATGCAGTGCTTGAGCACGATCATGGCAGAGTCGCTAAGCTTCATCACCATCTGCCTTTTAGGATATCTACTCAGCGCTGACTGTACAGGTTGGTTTCCTTCTTTCAAATGCATTGAGCATATTTGGTTTGTAGGTAGAGAAACGCCGGGGGCAATCCTTGTCATGGTCTTTGTTGTGACTGAAAAGCTAGATTTTAGTTTAAGTAGCAGCCATCACGTGGGCTGGTGTGTGCTCTCTCGCGACTGAGTCTTCTGCTGTTTCTTTAACTAAACAGAATCTCAACCTAATATATATATTTTTTTCTTTAAGGAACATTGTTGAGATTATGATAATGCAATGTCATTCCTCTAAGAAAACAATATTCTATTTGGTTCAAGTTATTAAAAGGGGGAACTGTTCTAACAAGGACACAGCAGAATGTTGAAAAAGAAATGTAGTGTCATCTTGGGTTTGGGGGGTCCAGCATTTTGAAATAAAAATTCAAAATGCTAAAAGGCAAACAATGGTTTCTTTAATGTGAAAGCTCTGATTTTAATATATGTCCTGGATTTCCAAAATTTGAAACTATATAGTAAGACATATCTTATTTTTAAAATCTGGATTCTCTCCCTTTAATAGATAGTTTTCATAAAAATCCAGCTGTTAAACTTCTCATTAGAAACTTGCTATTTATCACCCAACTATTTCAGGGATTAGGAGGAAATCATTTTGAATCTTATTCTAAACATTTCAGAGTTGGAATGTTAGGGTAACTCATTGTACAGTTGAGCTCCCTAGGGGCACAGATAAAGTGCAAGAATTGACATAACGACAAGGAGCTTCCTTTCACCGCTTGGAGCACTTTGTTTTTTCAGAACCTCAGTGACTTTGTACACTCCCTGGAGGAAGGCACCCAGTGCACACGTTCTCCCATTCGGACAAACAGCATGCTCTCGCAGGAAGCATTTATCACACTTACTTGTCAACCCACTAGAATCAAATCTTTGAGCCAACAGCATCAGGATCAGGGGTGCCAACCCCAAGTGTCCCCAGAAAACCAACTGGAACTGTGGTGCCTACTCCAGACATGATGTCAGTTACAGATGCAGCCTGAGAGGAACAAATAATGGTGTGAGAACACAAAGGTTCATGCAAACTAGTGAAGCGGGTACAGTTAAAGGATAAATAAAATGTGCTGGAAATAATGCAAAGGAGAAAAAACAGGAAATCTGGGAGGACAACGGACGTTAGGAGAAGTAGAGAGGGAAAGGGGCTTTTCAGTGGGCTGTTGCAACCCACAAATGTTGAGACCTGAGATGTCAGGAAAATGACAGGGCGTAGGCTACAAACAACAGAGGTACTAATTGTTCAGAGCTTGGAGATGTATGACCAGAGCTAAAGTGTGCTCCTTAGGAAGTATCCCTGGTGGCATAGAGTGTAATGTGACAGGCTGCAAACCACAAAGTTAGAAGTTCAAATCCACCAGCTGCTCCCCCGAAACAGATGGGCAGTTGATTCCTACAAAAATCTATAGCCAAAAAAAGAGAAAGAAAATATATTATAGCCTCAGAAACTCAATGGAGGAAACCTAAGAGTCAGACTCAACTTGATTGCAGCAGAGTTACTGAATGGCTTTATATACTGACATAATACTTAGGAGAAAGGCAGTGTGACTCTAGAGCTGACAAGGTCAAAGATAATCCCCTGAGAAGTCCCTGAATGGAATAAATGGTGAAGTAATGGACTATTAACTAGAAGATTGGCAGTTCAAATCCACCTAGAAGTAAGGCCTGGTGAGCTTGTGAAAGATTGTAGTCACCCTACTTTGCATACATGGGGTTACCAGAAGCAGGAATCAACTCAACAACAAGAGGCAAGGGCCAGGGGAATCTCCCTAAGTATGGGCGGCATTGATGCTTCCCTATCTTCTGCTTTTATTGGCACACTCGGAGAGTTTCTCTGTGTGGTACACTGAAGTAGTGCATTTTAGGTACTATGGCATCAGTTTGGAATTTTGAATTAAAAAATGTTCCACAAAACTAGTTCAGTTGTGTGTATGGAAACATATGGAAGAAACCATCTGCAAGTAATTCAAACAGTACTGGCATTAAACCAGGCTTTCTCTTTGACCTAAGATACATGGGAGGAGGTGAGAGATTTCAGTATGTATGATAAGGTGAGTACCAGAGGCTAAGGGAACACAAAGAAAGCAATCTTTTAAATGGAGAAGATACAACAGAGAAATGTTTAAGCTGCTTCCTGAAGGGGAGTAGAAATTCAAGCCAAACAAATTGTGTATATGTCAGAACAGAACTGTGCTCCATGGAGTTTTCAAGGGCTAGAATATCTCACCATCAAGAAACAAAAATCCTCACCACTTGGCCAATAGGCGACCTTATGAAAGATGGAGAAAAGATTGAAGTTGTCAATTTTTATTTGGATTCACAACCAACATTCATGGTAACCGCAGCCAAGAAATTTTAAAAAGTATTACAGTGAGGAAACATGCTATCAAGGACCTCTCCATCATTCTAAGGAGCAAGGATGTCAACTTAAAGACTAAGGTGGACCTGATCTAAGTCATGGTCTTTTCAGTCACCTGCTTTGCATCTGAGAGCCAGACAGTGACTAAATATGGCAGAAGAAGAATTGATGCCTTTGAATTTTGGTGTTGAAGATGACTACTGAATATCTCATGGACTGCCAAAAGAACAAATATGTCTTAGAGAAGGTGCAAACAGGGTACTCCTTAGAAGCAAAGATGGTGAAACTCCATCTCACATACTTTAAGCATGGTGTTAGGAGCAACTATTTCTTGGAAAAAGACAGTATGTTTGGTAAGGAGGAGGCTAAGAGGAAGATTGTCAACAAGATGGACTGACACAGTGACTGTAAGAATGGGCTCAAGCACATCAGTAACGGTAAGGATGGTGAGGATAGGGCAGGGTTCACATCTGTTGTCTATAAGAATCACTGTGAGTCATGGGCAACTTGATGACACCTAACAACAACAACATGTAAGGAGATAACTAGGCATCTTTTTCGTGGTACCAGTAGGTGGACTGAAACTGCCAATCTTTCTCTTTAAATTCCAGATTCAGGACATTCTATACCAAGAGGCTTACTCATGTACAGATAGATCTACAAAGAATGTGAGGTGTTTCTGAGACTCCAACTAGCACAGCATGGATACTGAAAGGTGGAAATAAGAAATGAAACAGGTGAAACAGGCTGACCAGGCGAGGTCAGGTCCTCAGATAAGGAAACCCCGAGCTGAAGAATCTGGACAACAGAACAGGACATGGAATAATCACAAATGTAAAACCTGGGGAGTGTCACTGACACTCACCTGCACCCACACTTTCCTGAACTGATAGGGCTGGTGCAAGACTAGGGGAGACCACTCTTGAGACTACTGGCATTATCTAAAGCACACAAAAGAGCCTATATCAAAACAATGCTTATACAGACAGACAAGAGATGATTCAAAGGATACTGTTACTGTTGCTAGCTGCCATTTGATTGGACTTCAGTTCATGGTTACACCATTCCCAAGAGAATGAAACACTGCTTTATTCTATTGCCCGCCCCCCACAACCAAGTACAGTTAGATTGTTGTGATGCATAATTTTCATTAACTGATTTTCAAAAGGAGGCTACCGGGCCCTTCTTCGTAGTCTATCTAGGGATTTCTGCCAAAACCAGTTCAACAACACAGAACGCAAACCTCCACTGGTAGATGGCTGGTAGCTTCAAAATTAGAGGCATTGGTCAGGAATCGAACCCAGGTCTTCATGGAAGAGGGGAATTCTGTCTCTGACATCACTACCCTCACAAGTGATATTAAGGAGGTAGAAAGACAAGACTCACTAACCATATTGGTATGGAAAGGGTTTAGGAAATATCTACAGAATGTGTTTGGGGATTTTTTGTTTTTAATTGATGCTGTGATTCTTGGATATGGCATAGTGGTCATGAGCATTTGTCTCTGCCAAGTAACTTGCAGGGTCTAAATCCTGGCTCTGAGGCTAGTATGTTACTTTGGGAAAATTACGTAACCTTTCTGAACTTTGTTTTTTCTCATTTACAAAAATGAGATGAAAGCACCTATCTCGTGGGACTGTTAGGAGGATGAAATGAGATAATGGATACAAAGCACAGAGCAGAGTGTCCACCACATCAGAAGCATAAAATAAACATCACCCACCATTAGCCACATTCCGGTTAAGGGGCTGGGAAAATGATCTGGAATTCAGAAGCTGTGTCTAACTGCAGATGGGTATGTGGGACTTATTGCTGTATAAGAATTCAGGAGTGCAGACAGGAGCACGCAGGGAGTGAGAACGGATGGCAGGGCATCTCATGTAGTGGCTTTTTTATCACTTTTTAAACATCTTAGAAAACTATGCTGTCAACCCAACGATAATGCAGTTCAAATCCACCAGCTGTCTGGTGGGGAAAAGAGGGGCATTCTCCTCCCGTGTGGTTTAGTGCCTCTGAAAAATCACCTGTGAGGTCAGCTATGGGTCGATTTCGACTCTACGGCACACAATAATGAGACAGAACACTCCTCAGATGTGAGGATGCTAAGACTTCACCTCACTGACTCTGGATGTGTGGCCAAGAGGAACCAGTCCATTAGTGAGAAGGCCTGACAGTGGCTGCAGTGGGCTTGGGCACAATAGAAATTGGGAGAACGGCATGAGATGTGACAGTGTTCTGTGTTGCTGTGAGTTGGAGCCAAAGGGATCTAAGAACAACAAAACAGCATACAGCCTGGAGCCCATGGTCACTGCAAATTGTTAAAAAACTCAATTGCTAAAGCAAAGGTTGGAGGTTCCTGTGTACCTAAAGGCTCCTTGATGCAAAAGCCTAGTGATCTGCTTTGGAAAACTCCCGACTCCCCTCTGAGACTTGTGAATTCACCAGGAATTTGAATTGACTTAAAGGCAACTGGTTTTAAGGATGCAAAGAGCTAGAAAAGTGTGCATTGAGTTGCTAAAAGGAATTGAGATAAACATAAAGGCAGGCAAGCAAGAGCATGGAAAGGAGGAAAAGAGATCCTCAACATTCACCAGCCCACATAGATTATCTCACTAATCCTGCCAA